ATATCTGGCTGGAAGCTCCAGGTGAGACTTCATTAAATCTGACAACTTAATAATGGATTTTTCTGACTAGGAGAATAACAATATTTAATTCTGTACTATGTACAGAATGTACACAGTATTTTATTCTACTACTAGTATGTGAAGTTCAATCACTTGCTAGGTCATAACTCCTGGTTCCTTACATTATAAGGTAACTTCCCCCCTTTCAATTAGTGAATAAAATTTGTGAGGTGATTCAAAGTTGGTTTTGAAGGGGAAATGTGCTCCTAACTCATTAGCCTGAGAAGATGGTGGGAAGTTCGAGGAGTGAGGTGCAGACATCACACGGTGGTGTTTCTGGGTGGATCAGATCTCATCAGGGAGTTGAAGGACAGGCTTTTAGCCATCAATTTTGTTGTCTCTCTTATTTCAGATCCCTAACATTGCCGCCATGTGTATAAACCTAAAACAATTTTTCCATAGAAAGCAAGGAATGAGGCTGGGCTCAGTGGCTGATGCCTATAATCCCAGCCCTTTGGGAGGCCGAGGTGGGAGGATTATGAGGTGAGGAGTTCAAGACCAGCCTGGCCAAGAAGTGAAACCCCGTCTCTACTACAATATAAAAATTAGCCAGGCACGGTGGCAGGAGCCTATAACCCAGCTACTTGGGGGGCTGAGGCAGAATTGCTTGAACCCAGGTGGCAGAGGTTGCAGTGAGCCAAGATCCAGCCACCGCACTCCAGCCTGGGTGACAAAGTGAGACTCCATCTCAAACAAAAGCTGGGCACGGTGGCTCGCACCTGTAATCCCAGCACTTTGGGAGGCCTAGGTGGGTGGATCACCTGAGGTGAGGAGTTCAAGACCAGCCTGGCCAACATGGAGAAATCCTGTCTCTACTAAAAATACAAAATTATCCAGGCGTGGTGGCACATACCTGTTATCCCAGCTACCTGGGAGGCTGAGGCAGGAAAATTGCTTGAACCTGGGAGGCGGAGGTTGCGGTGAGCCAAGATCACGCCATTGCACTTCAGCCTGGGCAACAAGAGCCAAACTCCATCTTACAAAAAAAAAAAAAAAAAAGGGAATGAGAAGAAATATGAACTATAAAATTAATTTGCCCCTAATGAACAGAGCCCAGCAGTGTAAAACATCTAAAGAAAATACCCACATGCATAGCCTAGCTCTCTGACCTTGGGAACACCACCTTACCTTTCGGTTTCAATGTTTTCACCTGTAAAATGGAAAACATAACAGCTCATTCCTCCAGGGTGACTGTTGGGATAGATAATAGATGGCATGTGTGAAGTGCTGGACACATAATAGAAATCTACAGATTCTTTGTCCTTTTGCGCCATCTCAAAGCAAGGATAGATTCTTTGTTGTGCCAAAGAGCTGGTCTTCCCCCTCTCTGCTGAAACACCCCCAGTGGCAGGAAACTCACTACCTACTATTGTTAGTCAGTGTATTCCATGGTTGGGTAGTTTCTAGGCTTATAAACTGATACAGTGAAATTCAGTTTCCCATACCTTTACCTAGCACAGTGTTTGGCCTATTATTGGCACTCAGATGTTTTAATGAATGAACAGAAAAAACTTGTTAATATTTCCTTTATCGTCTTTAAGAAAAATAAGATTGGCTGGGCACGGTCTTTAAGAAAAATAAGATTGGCTGGCTCACGGCTGTAATCCCAGCACTTTGGGAGGCAGAGGAGGGTGGATCACAAGGTCAGGAGTTCGAGACCAGTCTGGCCAATTATGGTGAAACCCCATCTCTACTAAAAATACAAAAATTAGCTGGGCGTGGTGGTGGATGCCTGTAATCCCAGCTATTTGGGAGGCTAAGGCAGAGAATTGCTTGAACCTCAGAGGCAGAGGTTGCAGTGAACCGAATTGCACCACTGCACTCCAGCCTGGGCAACAGAGCAAGACTCCATCTCAAAAAAAAAAAAAACAAGATTAATTTACTAGACTATAGGCTTTGTGAAGGTAGCTTTTTGGCACTATGTTTTCTCAGTAATTATTTATTGGATAAGTAAAGAAAGATCTAGTTAGTAAAATATAGTCTGTCCATAAGAATACTTCAAAACACACATATATTTCTTTTTCTCTACATATATATGAGATTATAGCTTTATTTTTTGAGTATATATGATGCTTTAACATAAAACATCACATTTGATTTTTTGAGGGTGCTTATAATTTTCTGCCTCCCCACCCCCTTTTTATTGATGTACAGTTTAACATTCAAATAGAAAAGTGCACGTCTCATAAGGGCACAGATGGATGCATTCTCACAAACTGAACACACCTGTGTGGAATCAAAACTGGGATCAAAAAGCATAAATTCCAAGTACCCCAGAGGTCCAACTCATGCCACTCCCAATCACTGCTCCTTTTGTTCTCCCAGAAATTACCACTATCCTGATTTTTTTGGGGGGGGCAGATTCTCACTCTGTCACCTGGTAGTGCAGTGGTGCAATCTCGGCTCACTGCAACCTCTGCCTCTTGGGTTCAAGCGATTCTCCTGCCTCAGCTTCCAGAGTAGCTGGGATTACAGGTGCACACCACCATGCCCAACTGATTTTTTATTTTTAGTAGAGATGGGGTTTTGCCATGTTGTCCAGGCTGGTCTCTAACTTCTGACCTCAAGTGACCTGCCTGCCTTGGCCTCCCAAAGTGCTGGGATTACAGGCGTGAGCCACTACACCTGGCCCCCAGTATCCTGATTTTAACATGTAGACTAGTTTTTTAACATGTAGCCTGATTTTGAACTTTAAATAAGTAGAATAATATGACACATTCTTTTTGCCTGGCTTGTCTCTCTTCATATTATGTTGGTGTGATCGCCTCTGTTGATGATATGAGGTAGGGATCAAGTTTCTTTTTTTTTTCATATGAATATCCAATTGACCCATCACCTTATTGAAATGATCCTTACCCAACCCGGACCTATTTTTTGAATACTGTTTTATTTTCTGATTATAAGATTAAGACACATGCCAAGCATGGTCATATTTGTTTGTAGTCCCAGCTACTTGGGAGGATGAGGCAGCAGGATCACTTGAGCTCAGGAGTTTGAGAACAGCTTGGGTAGCATAGCGAGACATCCATTTCTAAAGAAATAAAAAATTAAGACACATTAAAAAGTTTGGTGGCTCACACCTATAATCTCAGCACTTTGGGAGGCTGAAGCGGGCAGATCACCTGAGGTCAGGAGTTCAAGATCAGCCTGGCCAAGATGGTGAAACCCCATCGCTACTAAAAATATAAAAATCAGCTGGGTGTGGTGGCATGTGCCTGTAATCCAAGATATTTGGGAGGCTGAGGCAGGAGAATGACTTGAACCCGGGAGGCGGAGGTTGCAGTGAGCTGAGATCGTGCCATTGTACTCCAGCCTGGGAGACAGAGCAAGACTGTCTCAAAACAAACAAACAAACAAAAAACCCCCAAAATTAATTAATTAAAAAAATATGTAACCACTTACCATTCAAAGACACTTAAAACCGTAAGTGCAAAACTCTGCCTACTGGTGCATGCAAATGCGTATGATCTCTATTGTTTTCACTCCAGAACTCAGCTAAAGTAATTAGCTGAGTTAATTAAGTAATAAAAACCTCCCTGGAGGCCAGCCTTCTCGATATTGCTCTGCATTCCCTGAACTCCCAGCTGAGGAGATGAGGTGATCTCTTGGTAGCTGGAATGCCATGCAAACTGTTTGTTTTTGCAAAAAAAAAAGCACTTACAAGAGTTTGGGCAAAACTTGCAGTCCAGAGAAAAAAGTCAAAGTAACTATGTGGTTTGAGTGGATTCACTGTGTGTAAAAATGTATAATTGGTACTAACAGTGTAGTACATCTTTGAACCTTAAATGCTCATAAAATGTTAGAGAAAACTGCTTTGATGTCCAATGTTTTCACTGTATAAATAATGTTTTGTTGATTGGCAAGCCAGAAATGTCTATTTTCTGTGTTAACAGCAGTCAGCATGGGTGACTGGTAAACCCCAACAAAACTCAGAGGCCTGCTTGCCAATTCAAATTTCTTGAAACAATGTGGGTGGATTCACAAAGCTGAATCTCTCCGGCAGTCAAAGAAGAATTGTTGCCTCTTACAAAATAAGAACTCTATGTTCCCAGTACTAACACTACTGCTGCATGCCAAACTTGTAATTCTTGTCAAAAGCTGGCCCATTTATCTTCCAGCAAAAAACAGACCACACTACATGGATTCTGGCCCCACTTCTATTTGCAGCGATCTTTGACTCCCACCCATTCCAGGCTGATGGCTGTACTTTTCTTCCCAGGTTTTTCCTTTCTTTAGGTTTTAAAGTGTTGTTTCAGTCCATTCAGCTGAGTGGCCCTTGAAACTAATCTGTTTTTTTTTTTTTTTTTTTTTTTAACGGAGTCTCATTCTGTTGCCCAGGCTGGAGTGCAGTGGCGTGATCTCGGCTCACTGCAACCTCCGCCTCCTGGGTTCAAGCAATTCTGCCTCAGCCTCCTGAGTAGCTGGGATTACAGGCACACGCCACCATGCTCAGCTAATTTTTGTATTTTTATTAGTAAAGACGGGATTTCACCATATTGGTCAGGCTGGTCTAAAACCCTTGACCTCATGATCCACTCTCCTCGGCCTCCCAAAGTGCTGGGATTACAGGCGTGAGCCACCGTGCCCGGCTATTCTGTTATGTTTTACTTGATGGATATTTCACAGACCCAAGTAGGTGATCCTGCCGAATGCATTGTGGAAATAGATGCTTTTAGTATGAGTGATATTTGTCCTGATCTTAAGGGATGCCCCTAACGGGGAAAGGCCATGGTTACGACAGTGGCAGTGGGACCAGTGCACAACTGTGAGCCCACCAGACCACATGGTGGCAGTAAAGCAGCATAGAATACAAGGCTGGTAGGGCGGGGCGGGGCGGGGGTTGGGGGAAGTACTCTATCCACAAAAGAGCTGGGAGAGGCGGAAGTGCTTAAGAAAACCCGACACCTGGTGGGGACTGCCCTCCCACTCAGCCAGTTAGTACCCAAAACTTTAACATTCGGAGTGTGGGTGACTTATCATTATGTAGACTGGAGCCTGTGGTAAAAAGATGTAGCCGCTAAGCAATGGTCCCCTTGTGGACATGGATAAAACATTTGCCTGATGCCACTATTAGGTATATCCTTTTTGAGAGGAAATTATTGGCTTGTTATTGGTTGTTAGTGGACCTTGAGAGACTAACAAAGCAACAGCAGGTGTTTTTATGCCCTGACATCCCTGAGACGGTAATAAATGAAAACACCGACAAAATGGATTTTTCCCAGAAAAGAAATAAACTAAAGTTTAACATGTACAGGAAAAAGTGGTAGTCACCTTCTAGATACGGCTATCTCAGATGTGGGGTCTGTGCCAGAGCTTCTTGGGGGCTTTGGTACACAATTGTTTCTGAAAATGCCTGGGCCTGATTCATGGACACATCAGCTCTGTTAAAGGCTGATGGGGTGCACTGGGCCACTGCAGCTGTTTAGCCTCAAGGAAATCTGTTTTAAACTGCAATGGAAAAGGAGAGAGAGTGAGAGAGAGAGCAGAGTTATGGGCTATGGTGTTTGCTCTGGAAAATATCTCCTAAAATTCATCTTGTTAACATTTTCACTGACTCGTGGGCAGTAGCCAGTGGACTGGTAGTGTGGTCTGGTGCCTGGCAGTGGGACAACTTGATGATTAAGTCTTAAAGACTGAGGTCTGCCGCGCAGTGGCTCACACCTGTCATCCCAGTACAAGCCTCCTGAGGAGCTGTGATTACATGTGTACATACCATGACCCCAGTTAATTTCTGTATTTTTAGTGGAGACGGGGTTTATTCATGATGTTGGTCAGGCTGATCTCAAACTCCTGACCTCAAGTGACCTGTCCACCTCGGCCTCCCAAAGTTTTGGGATTATAGGCATGAGCCACTTCACTCGGCCTGTTTTCATAAATTAAGAAAAAAAAGTGGTGGGCTCGGTAGCTCACGCCTGTAATCCTAGCACTTTGGGAGGCCGAGGCGGGCAGATCACCTGAGGTCCGGAGTGTGAGACCAGCCTGACCAACATGGAGAAACTCCATCTCTACTAAATATACAAAAATGAGCCCAGTGTGGTGGCACATGCCTATAATCCCAGCTACTCAGGAGGCAGAGGCAGGAGAATTGCTTGAACCCAGGAGGCGGAGTTTGTAGTGAGCCAAGATCCTGTCATTGCACTCCAGCCTGGGCAACAAAAGTGAAACACCATCTCAAAAAAAAAAAAAAATGTATAATTGGAGTCACATAACACATGTAGGGGAAATGATGCCTTGTCTCAACAGTTTTGCTAATTTTTAGGGTAGAAAGATGAGTGTTTAGAGTTTACCTTCTTACATTTGATTAAGATCAGTGTTTCTGTAAAAGCATAATAGGGAAGAGGTGCAGAGCAGGAGAAGTTGACTCAAGCATAAGGAAGAAGATTAGAGGAGCTTGGGGCCTGGGTTGGCTGAGAAGGCTGAGGTGGTCACAGCCAAGGCTCTGAAGGGCTCTTGGGGATCCTTATGATGGGCCTGGGGGGCCTGGCTTCTCAAGGCTGCTTCTTTCTTTCCCCAGCTCTGCCTTCCAAGGTTTCTGCCTGGCCCTGGGAGGAGAAGCCTGGATACCTGGTGAGTTGGGCCCACCTTTATCTTTTCTGAAATGCTGGCTCATATCTCAGAGAACGGGCTCATCTCTCTTTCTTGGGAAGGGAGGAAGTGATTAACATGTAAGCAGTTTATGCCTTGTGTTAGCCATTTTCTTAGGCATATTGTAATTTTTTTTGCATTTAATCTTTCTATTATTTGAGCTTATACAAAAACATGACCAAGTTTAATATTAATCCAGAGTATTCTAAACTGTAAGGATAACTTTTTATAAAAACCTGGGGTTATTAAGATCCTAAAATGTACTGTTAAAGTTCCCTACATCAACATTTGCACAAATACTTTTAACACTTTAATAGTATCTAATAGTCTGATCTTGTACATTAGACTTCTTTTTTACATTTTATTATAGATGATTTTAAAGATATGAGGTTGGGCATGGTGGCTCATGCCTGTAATCCCAGCACTTTGGGAGGCCGAGGCAGATGGATCACGAGGTCAGGAGTTAGAGACCAGCCTGTCCAACATGGTAAAACCCCGTCTCTACTAAAAGTACAAAAATTAGCTGGGCATGGTGGTGCACACCTGTAATCCCAGCTACTCAGGAGGCTGAGGCAAGAGAATAGCTTGAACCTGGGAGGCGGGAGTTGCAGTGAGCTGAGATCGCGCCACTGCACTCCAGGCTGGGCAACAGAATGAGACTCCATCTCAAAACAAAAAATCAAAAAAACAAAAATTAGTCAGTCGTGGTGGCGGGTACCTGTAATCCTAGCTACTTGGGAGGCTGAGGTAGAGAATTGCTTGAACCTGGGAGGCGGAGGTTGTAGTGAGCTGAGATCACGCCACTGGACTCCAAGCTGGGCTACAGAGTGAGAATCCATCTCAAAAAAAAAAAAAAAAAAAAAGAAAGAAAGAAAAGAAAATTTCAAAGGTATGCAAAAGTGGAAAAAGGGTTAATGAACTCTCGTGTGTCCAGCATCCTACTTCGGCAATTATTTCATCTCCATTCCCACTGGATTATGTTTAACAAAATCCAAGGCATCATACCATTTAATCCATAAGTATTTCATGCTTTTTTTTTTTTTTTTTTGAGACGGAGTTTTGCTCTTGTTACCCAGGCTGGAGTGCAATGGCACGATCTCGGCTCACCGCAACCTCCTCCACCTGGGTTCAGGCAATTCTCCTGCCTCAGCCTCCTGAATAGCTGGGATTACAGGCACATGCCACCATGCCCAGCTAATCTTTTGTATTTTTAGTAGAGACGGGGTTTCACCATGTTGACCAGGATGGTCTCGATCTCTTGACCTCATGATCCACCCACCTCGGCCTCCCAAAGTGCTGGAATTACAGGTGTGAGCCACCGCGCCCGGCTTCCATAAGTATTTCAGTCCTGTGTTATATCATTAACAGCTGTAGGAAATGGGATGATCTTTTCTATACCAGAAATTTAATTTATTAGTTTCTGGGCACAGGACTATGTGAGATTCTGGGAGCTAGCCAAGTAGAGTTGTTAAATTCACTGTCCTTATTCTCAAAGAGCCAAGATTCTTTGGGAAATGATGCATAGAGGCAGGAAATAATGACGCTTGTAATAATTATGATGAAAACAGCTAAAACTGTAAAATAGTACAGGGAAAGACTAAGTGTTAGCCTGTAGCTGTTAAAACAATGCACAGCCACGAAGAATGGTCTTAGGTTTGGATTGATAATCAAATTAATGGTACATAATGTATTTGAACCCTGCATTAAATTCACTTGGCTTCATGAAAGGATAGAGTATAGGAGACATAACAACCACACCATTATTCTCAGGAGGTTTTGCACCAGTCACTGGGGCAGCTTCCAGGCCATAGGGGCCAAGCTTGTTTGACAGAGATGAGGGTGACTTGGAAGAAAATCACTTCAATATCAGGGAAGCAAGTGCCATTTTCTGTATTCCCTCCTCTTCCCCAACCTTTTTTTTTTTTTTTGAGATGGAGTTTCACTCTTGTCGCCCAGGCTGGAGTGCGGTGGCGCAATCTCTGCTCACTGTAACCTCCACCTCCTGGGTTCAAGCGATTCTCCTGCCTCAGCCTCCTGAGTAGATGGGATCACAGGCACATACCACCCTGCCCAGCTAATTTTTGTATTTTTCAAAGAGACAGGGTTTCACCATGTTGGCTAGGCTGGTCTCAAACTCCTGATCTCAGGTAATCCACCTGCCTTGGCCTTCCAAAGTGCTGGGATTACAGGCATAAACCACTGTGCCTGGCCCCCAACTGTTTATTATGAATAAATTTAATATACAGAAAAGTCCTAAGAATAGTAATTTTTTTTTTCTTGAGATGGAGTTTTGTTCTTGTTGCCCAGTCTGGAGTGCAATGGCATGATCTTGGCTCACAACAACCTCTGCCTCCCGAGTTCAAGTGATTCTCTGGCCTCAGACTCCCGAGTAGCTGGGATTACAGGCATGTGCCACCACGCCCAGCTAATTTTGTATTTTTAGTAGAGACAAGGTTTCTCCAGGTTGGTCAGGCTGGTATCAAACTACTGACCTCAGGTGATCTCCCCACCTCAGCCTCCCATGGTGCCGGGGTTACAGGCGTAAACTGCTGCAGCTGGCTAAGAATTGTGAAATTTATACTCAACACCTAAGTTTAATACCTAAAGTGTATAGTTAACGTTTAATTTTATTATTATTTTTGAGATTGAGTCTGGCTCCGTTGCCAGGCTGGAGTGCAGTGGCACAATCTCTACTCACTACAACCTCCACCTCCCGGGTTCAAGAGATTCTCTTGCCTCAGCCTCTTGAGTAGCTGGGACTACAGGCACGTGCCAGCATGCCCAGCTACTTTTTGTATTTTTAGTAGAGACGGGGTTTCACCATGTTGGCCTGAGGGGTCTCGATCTCTTGACCTTGTGATCTGCCCGCCTTGGCCCCCCAAAATGCTGGGATTATAGGCAGGAGCCACAACGCCCAGCCTATTGTCTTTTTAAATGCTCACACCTGTAATCCCAGCACTTTGGGAGGCCCAGGTGGGTGGATCACGAGGTCAAGAGATCGAGACCATCCTGGCCAAGATGGTGAAACCCTGTCTCTACTAAAATACAAAAATTAGCTGGTCATGGTGGCAGGCACCTATAGTCCCAGCTACTCGGGAGGCTGAGGCAGGAGAATTGCTTGAAACAGGGAGGCAGAGGTTGCAGTGAGCCGAGATTGTGCAACTGCACTCCAGCCTGGTACCTGGTGCCTGGCAACAGAGTGAGACTCTGTCTCAAAAAATAAAATAAAATTAGCCGGGTATGGTGGCAGTTGCCTGTAATCCCAGCTACTCGGGAAGCTGAGGCAGGAGAATTGGTTAAACCCAGGAGGTGGAAGTTGCAGTGAGCCAAGATTGTGCCACTGCATTCCAGCCTGGGTGACACAGTGAGACTCTGTCTAATAAATACATACATACATACATACATAAAATGGCATATCCATTTATTTATCCCTCTATCCATCTGTTAATCTGTCTTATGTTTTCATGCACTTCAGAGTAAGTTGCAGATATTAATACATTTCACCTCTAAATACTTAAGCATGCATATCATTAAGTAGAATTCAGTATTGTTTCTGAGGTAAAATTTACACATAGTCAGATGTACACATTTTTAGTTTACCATTTGTTTAGTTTAGCACGTCTACAGCTATTCATTAGCCATTCACAGAGCTTCCTTTTTGACGTGCCTGTTGAAAGTTTTGACACATTTGAAACAATTTATGATTGACGTATAATGATTGTACCTTTTTATGGGGTGCACTGTGATGCTTTCACACGTGTATACATTGTGTGATGATCAATTCAGGGTGATTAGCATATCCATCACCTTAAACATTGATCATTTCTTTGTGATGAGAACATTCAAAAACCTCTCTTCTAGCCTGGGCAACACAGCAAGAACCCATCTCTACAAAAAATTAAAAAAGAAATTTGCTGGGATTGGTGGCATATACCTATAGTTGTAGCTACTTGAGAGGCTGCCTGCCACGGGAGGATCACTTGAGTGCAGGAGTTTAAAGCTGCAGTGAGCTATGATTATGCCACTATACTCCAGCCTGGGCGACAGAGCAAGACCTTGTCTCTTAAAAAACAAACAAAACAAAAAATCAGTTGACTATGTTTGTGTCAGTCATTTCTGGACTCTGTTCTGTTCCACTGATCTACTTGCCTGTGTTTTTGCTAATACTACACTGTCTTGATTAATGCAGCCTTTTTTTTTTTTTTTTTTTTTTGAGACAGAGTTTTCGGTCTTGTTACCCAGGCTGGAGTGCAATGGCGCAATCTCAGCTCACCACAACCTCCGCCTCCTGGGTTCAGGCAATTCTCCTGCCTCAGCCTCCTGAGTAGCTGGGATTACAGGTATGCGCCATCATGCCCAGCTAATTTTTTGTATTATTTAGTAGAGATGGGGTTTCACCATGTTGACCAGGATGGTCTCGATCTCTTGACCTTGTGATCCACCCGCCTCGGCCTCCCAAAGTGCTGGGATTACAGGCGTGAGCCACCACGCCCAGCAATGCAGCCTTATAATAAGTCTTGGAATTGGGTAATATGAATCCTCCAACTTTATTCTTCGGTATTGTTTTAGCGATTCTAGGTCTTTTGTCTTTCCATGTAAACTCTACAATCAGTTTCTCAGTAGGTACAAAATAGCTTGCTGAGTTTTTGACTGGGTTTGCTTTGAATCTATACATTGAGATGGAAAGAGCTGATATCATAATATTGAGTCTTCCTATCCATGAACATAGAATATTTCACCATTCATTTAGATCATCTTTGATTTCTTTCATCAGTGTTTGTAGTTTTTCATGTATAGATTATATACATGTTTTATTAGAGTTGAACCTAAGTATTTAATTTTTTTGGTGCTCTGTATGTATGTGTGTGTATAAAATTTAAAATTCTAATTGTTTATTGCTGGTATATAGGAAAGCAGTTGACATATAAGAAAGCAGATGATCTTATATCCTGCAACCTTGCTATATTTGCTTATTCATTCCAGGAATTTTTTAAAAATTACTTTTTGTAGATTCTTTGGGATTTCCTATGTAGACAGTCATGTCATCTATGAACAAAGACAGTTTTACCTATTTTCAAATATATGTACATTTTATTTTTCTTGTCTCATTGCAATAGCTAGGACTTTCAGTGCAATGTTGAACAGGAGTGGTGAGAGAAGACATCCTTGCCGTGTTTCCAGTTATCCAGGAAAAACATCTAGTCTCTCACTATAAAGCAGGATGTGTGTTGTAGGTTTTTTTGCAGATGTTCTTTGTCAATTGAGGAAGTTCTGCTATATTTCTGGTTTGCTGAGAGGTATTTATTTTTATTTTTATCTTTATTTGTTTGAGACAGCGTTTCACTCTATCAGCCAAGCTGGAGTGCAACAGCGCCATCTCGGTACACTGCAACTTCTGCCTCCTGGGTTCAAGGGATTCTCATGTCTCAGTCTCCCAAGTAGCTGGGACTATAGGCATGTGCCACCATACCCAGCTAATTTTGTATTTTTAGTGGAGACGGGGTTTCACCATGTTGGCCAGGCTGGTCTTGAGTGCCTGACCTCAAGTGATCTGCCTACCTTGGCCTTCCGAAGTGCTGGGATTACAGACATGAACCACCATGTCTGGCCGAGAGTTTTTACTTTTAATAAATTGCATTTAGTTTTTAAAGACAGGGTCTTAATTTAATTTAATTTTGTTATTTATTTTTTGAGACAGAGTCTCGCTCTGTCACCTAAGCTGTACAGTGGTGCAATCTTGGCTCACTGCAATCTCCACCTCCTGGATTCAAGTGATTCTCCTACCTCAGCCTCCTCAGCAGCTGGGATTACAGGTGCCCACCACCATGCCTGGCTAATTTTTTTTTTTTGAGATGGAGTCTTGCTCTGTCACTCAGGCTGGAGTGTAGTGGTGTGATCTTGGCTCACTGCAACTTCCACTGCCCAGGTTCAAATGATTCTCCTGCCTCAGCCTCCCGAGTAGCTAGGATTACAGGCACATGCCACCACATCTGGCTAATTTTTGTATTTTTAGTAAAGACGGGGTTTCAGTGTCTTGGCCAGTCTGGTCTTGAACTCCTGACCTCGTGATCCACCTGTCTCAGCCTCCCAAAGTGCTAGGATTACAGGTGTGATCCACCGCACCAGCTAAGTTTTGTATTTTTAGTAGAGACAGGGTTTTTCCACATTGGCCAGGCTGATCTCAAACTTGTAACCTCAGATGATCCGCCTGCCTTGGCCCCCCAAAATGCTGGGATTACAGATGAAAGCCACTGTGCCTGACCAGAAACAAGGTTTTGCCATGTTGGCCAGGCTGGTCTCAAACTCCCGGGCTCAAGTTATCCTCCTGCCTTGACCTACCAAAGTGTTGGGATTATAGGCATGAGCCACCACACCTGGCAGCCGAGAATTTTTATAATCATTAGGTCCTGGGTTTTGTCAAATGTATTTTCTGCATCAAATGACATGATCATATGATTTTGTTTCTTTAGCCTATTGACATGGTAGATTACAATGATTGATTTTCTTTTCTTTTCTTAGCCCATGAGCCTAGTTTATGACATTCCATTGGGCAAAACTCCTGTCCCCAGCACTGAGTGTGGCCCAAGCCCCACAGCAGCTGCCAAGGGACCCAACTGCCCTGCCTGGTGCTAGCTCCCAGCACTGCTACTGGGCAGGCCATGGGTACTGAAGTTTGTCCCACTGTCCCCTGTCCATCCATGTCAGAGGGGCCAGGCCATCGTGGTGGGATGGGGCAGGAGTATAGTTGTGGCCGAGGGCTTGTGAGTAGGCCTCCTACTCCACAGTGCTGGTGCAGGAGGAACTCTGGAAGCCCTGCACTCAGTGGTACAGCTTCCAAGGTGTTCCTGAGTAGCAGACATTGTCCCTCAGGAGGGGTGACTCCACAGCCATGAGCACCCTGTTCCAGTGGGGGCCTTTTTTTGCAGATGGGCTTGAGGGAGCGGGGAACCCAGCGTGGCAGGTACCAGTTGAGTTTAGGGTTTGCTTTTCAGAACAACTCCTTCAGGAAGCCGAGGCCCATGATTTGGTAATGGACCTGCTCTGTAGGCCATCTTCACACATTCCTTGATCTTGGGGTGCTCTTCCCAGGGTAGTCCTGTCATCTTTCGGGCCAGCATGCCTCTGTGAGGCCAGATGAGCTGGCTAAGCAGCAGAACATCGTCATAGTTCTATTTGTGCTTCAGGTTCCAGCAGCAGATGAGGCACTGGCCAGAGGGGTTAGGAGGATTTGGACTCTCCTTGGGAGTTGCTGTGATACGGCCTTCGATTATAGTTGACTTCCCTTCTTGGATCTCCACCACTTCCCTGAACCCACGAGCTGGAAGTGGAGACCAGCTGGTCACTGCTGGCCTGCTAAGAGCCCATGGGGAAGCTGCCCACAGCTGGACACCAGAGCCTCGAAGCCACCATCTTGAAAAACCAACCCTGACCTCTACAATGATTGATTTTCAAATGTTGAACCAGCTTTGCAAATCTATAATAAACCCAAGTGTGGTGTGTAATTATTCTTATACATTTCTGGATTTGATTTGCTTATATTTTGGGAGGAGGGTATTCCATCTCTTGTGAGATACATTGAGCTATAGTTTTAATTTCTAATGTTTTTATCTAGATTGGTTATTAGGGTAATGCTGGATTCATAGGATGGGTTAGGAAAGGTTCCCTCTGCTTCTATTTTCTGGAAGAGATAGGGGTCTTCTATAGTAAAAAAGTTTTTTTTTTTTCCCTCGAGATGGGTTCTTGCTCTGTCCCGGGTTCAAGCGATTCTTCTGCCTCAGCCTCCCCAGTAGCTGGGACTACAGATGTTTGCCACCACGCCCAGCTAATTTTTGTATTTCTAGTAGAGACAGTGTTTCACTATATTAAGCAGGCTGGTCTTGAACTCCTGACCTCAAGAGAAGCTCCCGCCTCGGCCTCCCAAAGTGCTGGGATTGCAGGTGTGAGCCATGGCATCCATTCTCCAAGACCGCCAGTTCCATTCTCTCTGTGAATCATAACGGTGACTTAATGTATATGAATTTATTGGTTGAATTAGGGACCAGTGACTTTCAAGGATGTGGCTGTGGTTTTCACTGAGGCAGAGTGGAAGAGACTGAGCCTTGAGCAGAGGAACCTATACAGAGAAGTGATGCTGGAAAATCTCAGGAATCTGGTCTCGTTGGGTAAGGACATATTCTCTTCCTTCATCTTTCCATTCAAGTATTTCCTGACTATATTCAGTGTGCCAGCAATGTTTTAAATCTTTTAAAACATATCAGTGAATAGAATGATAAAGCATTTCTTCTGTCATGGAGCTTACATTCTTGTGTAGGCAGACTGACAATATACAATAAGAAGCATATATAGGTAAATTATATATGTCAAAGGATAATAAGTGTTACATAGCTAAAAAAATATATATAAGATATATATAAATATAAGTACAGGAGATTAAGAAAGATCTGAAGGGCCCGGGTATGGAGGCAACTGGCTGAACTTTTAAATTGTGTGATCAGGGTAGGCCTCTATGAGGAAGTACATTTGAGCAAAGGCTTGAAGGAGGTAAGGAGGTTGGATATGTGGGTCTGTTGGGAAACTGCTCCAGGCAGGGGGAAAGCAGTGCTAAGGCCCTGGAGGCAGGAGCATACCTAGTCCTTTGCAGGAAAAGCAAGGAGGCCAAGGTGGCTGGAGCACAGAGAACAAGGAGGAGAGTTGTAAGAGATGCCTTCTATGACCTAGGAGTTGGAAATGTTTAAGGTTTAAGGTATAAATCTGTCAGTTTGATGTTAATAGATTACTGGATATCATATATCATGGTTTTTTTTGTTTTGTTTTGTTTTTTTAAAGAGACGGGATTTCTCCTTGTTGGTCAGGCTGGTCTAGAACTTCCGACCTCAGATGATCTGCCCACCTTGGCCTCCCAAAGTACTAGGATTACAGGCGTGCATACATCATATTTTTATTCGCTTATTTAAAAACTAAAATTAATTATTAGGTTGGCAAGGACAAAAGTATTCTAGGTATTCCTGAGTTCTTGATGAGAGTCAAGTTTTCAGAGTTTCTAATTCCTGTCAGCTGCTTTCTCAAGGCTTATCTTCATCTGACATAGCTATGAATTAAATAGTTCTGATTTGTTCTCTTTGCATCTCCTTAGACCTATATTGCACCGCTTTTCTCTAATTTGAATTGGCCTCATTTCAATCCATTTGGCTTCTAACTCAGTTGCCTACTTCTGTTTCAGTGTAGACTCATCCATTTAAGTTTGCTTTCAATTGGCCAATCTGATTTGGTCTTGTTTTTATCTTGTTTCATCTGGTCTTGTTATTCTCTATCTTTATGCTCATACATTTTGTTGATTCTGAAGAATATATAAAATTGCCTTAAAATAATCTGATTCAAACTAATTTTGATGCTGAAACTTTGGATCTCATTGGATCCATTTTCAGGCGTTAAGCTGTTTTCATCCTTGATTCATCCTTCCCTTTCTTTTTACATCAGTTTTTCTTTTACTGCTGAATTATTTAAAGCAAATCTCAAATATCATGACATACCACTCCCGTTATATCACAATGCAACTCCAATAAATAAAGGCATTTTCTTTTTTGATTTTTTTTGAGACGGAGTTTCACTCTTGTTGCCCAAGCTGGAGTGCAATGGCACGATCTTGGCTCACTGCAACCTCTGTTTCCTGGGCTCAAGCAATTATTCCGCATCAGCCTCCCAGTAGCTGGGATTGCAGCTGCGCACCGCTACACCCAGCTAGTTTTTTGTGTTTTTAGTAGAAATGGGGTTTCACCATGTTAGCCAGCCTGGTCTTGAACTCCTGACCTCAGATGAACCGCCTGCCTCAGCCTCCCAAAGTGCTGGGATTATAGGCGTGAGTCGCCACGCCAGCCAGGACATTTTCTTATATAACCACAGTATCATGACCAGAACTCACAAAGTTATTAGTAGTGCTTCAGTATCATCCAACACCTGATCCATGTTCAAATTTACCCGATTATCTCAAATAAGTTTTTTTTTGCAAATTTGAATCAGGATCCAGACAGGATCCACACATTCCATCTTCTAAAAAATTATCTTTTTTTTTCTTGAGATGAAGTTTCACTCTTGTCCCCCAGGCTGGAGTGCAATGGCGCGATCTCAGCTCACTGCAACCTGCGCCTCCCAGGTTCAAGCGATTCTCCTGCCTCAGTCTCCCGAGAAGCTGGGATTACAGGCATGCACCACCACGCCCAGCTAATTTTGTATTTTTAGTACAGGCAGGGTTTCTCCATGTTGGTCAGGCTGATCTCGAACTCCCAACCTCAGGTGATCTGTCTGCCTTGGCCTCCCAAAGTGCTGGGATTACAGGTGTGAGCCATCATGCCCAGCTGGTCGAGGATGATTTTAGTATAATTGTAGATGTTTACAGAGCTGAGGATGTCTCAGATGCCTACTTGGAAGATTCTCTGTTGGGATAATATAAAGAATAGATTTGATTGTGGGTTTTTTTGGATTAAAATAAAATATGTATATGTAAAAATGGAGTGCAATGCATAATCTTAATCTAATCATGGCAAACAAGGATTCTTTTTTTTTTTGACAGTGTTTCACTGTGTTGTCCAGGCTGGTCTCGAACTCCTGAACTCAGGCAGTCTGCTCACCTCAGCTTCCCAAAGTGTTGGGATTACAGGAGTGAGCCACTGCTTCTGGCCCTTTGTATTATTCATATTCTTATAGCTTTTTGTATATTTGAAATGGTTTCCAAATCAAAAGTTTGAAGAAGTTGAATGGAAATATAGGTCCTGCACAGCACATCTTGGGGAGAGAGACTTTAATCACTGAGAATGATTAATGGGCTAGGTCTTATCATAAAACAAGAACCCAGTCAGCCCTTCCTGTGACTCTTCTGGGAACTTTCTCTCTTCAGCAGAATCAAAGCCAGAAGTCCATCCTGTCCCTCTTGCCCTGTGGTCTTTGGCAGTCAGCAATTCCTTAGCCAAGATGAGCTACACAATCATCCTATTCCAGGATTTTATGCAGGAAATCAACCCACCCAGGAAATCCCTGCCAGGAGGATCAGCCACAGCCACATCGTCCTTCTGATAAAAATCACTGGGGGAGCTGGAGCAAAAGATCACAAGTGGAAGGAGGAGTCAGACCCTTGTTTTGGAGTACAAATGAGAGAGGGACTTTAGTGGGTTTCTCTAGCCTGTTCCAGAGACCACCAACAAGCTCTTAGGGAGGCAACAGAATATTAGAGATACAGCTCAGTCCAGCCCAGATGCAAGCTCTGAGGAAGTATACAGAATTTCCAAGAGGGCAAAAACCCCAGGGTTTGGAGCGGTCAGGTTTGGAGAGTGTGCCCTAGCTTTTAGCCAGAAGTCAAACCTCTTCGGACAGAAGGCAGTCACAGTGGAAAAATCTTCAGACAAAAGACAGTCACAGATGTGCACAGTGTGTGGACGAGGCATTCGTAACAAGTCACACCTCATTCAGCACCAGAGAATTCACACAGGGGATAAGCCTTACGTGTGTAGGAACTGTGGCCGAGGCTTTGTGAGATCATGCCTCATCAAACACCAGAGGATACTTTCAGGTGAGAAGCCTTTCATATGCAGAGAGTGTGGGCGGGGCTTCCGTGATAAATCCACTCCTCATACACCAGAGGGCACATTCAGGGGAGAAGCCTCATGTGGTGAGGAGTGTGGGCGTGGATTTACCCGGAAGTCAACACTCAAGTCACATCGGAGAACACACTCAGGGGAGAAGCCTTATGTGTATGGGGAATGTGGGTGGGGATTTAGCAGCAAGGGAGTCCTCAACACACACTGGAGGACACACACGGGAGCAAAGCCTTACGCATGTCGAGTAGCCACAAGTCCACTCTCAGCTCACATCAGAGGATACACTCAGGGGAGAAGCCTTCATAGGGAGTGAGAGTAAGGTGCTGGTTGGAAGTGGCCCCTTAAGAGACACTGGGAGTCAAATCTGTCCACTGTACACCTACCCCCCTCTAGTTCTAAGGGCTTCAGGGACAGTCTTCTGACCCCTTTTATTCCTGCAGATGTGAAGATGGCAAAGCTCTAACTTTGGAGAGTAGAGGTGCCAAATGATGGTCCTCTTGGAGGAATGGTCTTTACACCTGACTACTTCCTCCTGCAGCTGTGCTCTTCCATTGGTTTCTATGACACTCTTCTGCTTTATTTTTTTCTACATCTCTAGCCTTTGCTGTATTTTCTCCTACCCCACCTTAAGGTTTTACTCACAGTTCAGTCTCCAGCCTTATGATCTGAGGGACTCCTTAACCAGGTCCCCTTTCTAATCCTGCAGTCCCAAGTCCAAGATTATTTAACCACACTCTAAAAGTTCTTCAGACTCAGGACTTAAACCTCATAGCCATGCCATGTTGGCCCTCAGTGACAGTGATGACTGCTAGCAATGCCGCGTCATCGACCTTCGGATGTTAGGTTTAAGGGTATTTAAACACAGCTCCTCTTAAATCCTCCAATCTCAGTTCACAGTGTTTTATAGCCACACTCAGGTGGCTAAATTACATCCAGTAATCATGCTAAGGCCTTTAGCCATCTGTCCCACACTCCCAGGGCCCATATGGCCCAGGTTCTGACAGTTTGCCTTACTCCCTTCTTGGCCTGGGGCTAGCCCTATCTGACACCCTCTGTCAATGAGTGTACGTACCTTGGGGAGCTGGTCCACTCAGGCCCCAGTGTCTTTATTTGCTAAAAGACTCTTTGTCACAGAAAAGAAGGGGAGAGATCTTTGGGTAGCCTCAAATTACTTAGGCTTAGTTTTGATGCTGGAGAAGAAGGACTTGTAGAGAGAAAAGGAGTTACTGGTCCAGAGACTTTTGTTCACTCCCTCTCACTGGAAGTGGTTGATCTCCAGGGAATCTCCGAGGTTAGCCTGGTTGGGGGAAGGGCTAGGGGTACCTGGAATGTAGTTTCTCCTTACCCGTGCCTGGCCTACAACCCTAATGCTGCCCCTTTCCCATAGCCTGAGCTAAAAGCCACAGTGTGTGTATGTGTGTGTGTTTAGGGGTTGCTGAGCAGGGGAAGGATGGGTCACCATCATTCCACAAGACCTCAAAGTTACTTCTCCCATAGAAAACCAAAGTAGAAAAATTAATGATCATACATCTTCTTTAAACATGACAGGGAGAAAAAAAAATGTTCATTTTATATATATGAATGAGCATTTTTTTTTGAGATGGAGTCTCGCTCGGATGCCCAGGCTGGAGTGCAGTGGTGCGATCTTGGCTCGCTGCAACTTCTGCCTCCCAGGTTCAAGCAATTCTCTGCCTCAACCTCCTGAGTAGCTGGAATACAGGTACCCACCACCACACCCAGCTAATTTTTGTAATTTTAGTAGAGATGGGGTTTCACTATGTTGGCCAGGTTGGTCTTGAACTCCTGACCTTGTGATCCACCCGCCTTGGCCTTCAAAAGTGCTAGGATTATAGGTGTGAGCCGCCGTGTCCGGCCTCATTTTCTATTAAAATCCATGTAAGCACTGTAGAGACACCACACAGGTCTGGCCCAGCAAGATGACTGTCAGGTCCAGGCAGTCACAGGAAGAGATGCAGAGGGTACCTCTGTCTAGGCCAGAGCAGATGGCTTTGGGTGCCATCTAGTCAAGAATCACCCCTTCCTTTGTCTCTTCGAAAAGAGAATGAAATCAGGGCTGTAATGGCCTCATCTCTGCAGTAACAGGCCGGAGGTGTTGTGAGACCTTTGCAGTAAAGGGTTGCTGGGGAAGGGGAGGGGTGGGGAAAGGTGTCTCTGGTGTAGGGGCTGACAGCTCATTTCTGAAGGATGATATGGGGCTTCATTCAAATGACTGCAGGGCCCAGTAAGTCAAACTGAGGTCAAGGTGGCCTGTCTCCCTGCTGACCTCATCCTTCAACCCCACCCCTGAGGTTCCCTGGCTCTACCCATTTTTCTACCATTGTATTTGGCCCTCCAAATCCCTCATCCCCTTTCCTTGAACTTCGTCCCTCAGTGCAGCTTCTCCCTCAGCACACACCTAGGGAGTGTTCTTTATCCCTCCCTATGGACTTGTTCTTCAGCGCTGACTTTCCCTTTGTTTCCCTCCCCTTTTTTTTTGAGATGGAGTTTCATTCTTGTTGCCCAAGCTGCAGCACAAAGGCACAATCTTGGCTCACCTCAACCTCCACCTCCCAGGTTCAAGCGATTCTCCTGCCTCAGCCTCCTGAGTAGCTGGGATCACAGGCATGCACCACCCTGCCTGGCTAATATTGCATTTTTAGTAGAGACAGGGTTTCTCCATGTTGGTCAGGCTGATCTTGAACTCCCAGTCTCAGGTGATCTGCCTGCCTTGGCCTCCCAAAATACTGGGATTACAGGCTTGAGCCACTGAGCCTGGCTCATTTTCCAAATTTTTTTTTTTTTTTTTTTTGAGACAGAGTTTCGCTCTTGTTACCGAGGCTGGAGTGCAATGGCACGATCTTGGCTCACCACAACCTCTGCCTCCTGGGTTCAGTCAATTCTCCTGCCTCAGCCTCCTGAGTAGCTGGGATTACAGGCACACGCCACCATGCCCAGCTAATTTTTTGTATTTTTAGTAGAGACGGGGTTTCACCATGTTGACCAGGATGGTCTCGATCTCTTGACCTCATGATCCACCCGCCTCGGCCTCCCAAAGTGCTGGGATTACAGGCTTCAGCCACCGCGCCCAGCCTCATTTCCCAAATTTTATTGAAGTGGTGCCTGCAGGGTAGGATAGTGGGGGAGAGTGCCTTGGGAGGAGCCACAGAAGGCTCTGGAGGGGCTACTTGCCACCTCTGCTACTTGTCCAACATCTGGGGAACAAGGATAGAACTTCCTAAGGTCAGTTCCAGCTGTCACTGATTCCCTATCTTCTCCCTCTCTGAGGAGTGGCTCCACCTCACTTTGCCACAGTTTTAGCATCTTAGAGGTCTGCATTTAGAGGTCACTTTCCCATAAGCCTTTGAGGGAGTGCTCGCTCAGTGCAATCCCAGGGGTCCTAGTTTTCTGCAGCTGTTCCTTTCCATCATCACTCCCTTTTCTCCCCTGCCTTGTTAACCCTCCTTTCCTATCTTGAGGGGTCCCTTCATGCTCTGGCCTTAGGAATTCTTCTTTCTAGGCCTTGGAGTAAGATGAGAATCAAGATCTCCACAGCTGGCTCCTGTGATTCAGATGCTGGGCCCTATGGTAAACCTCTCTCCAGGAAAGAAACGGGTGAGGGTGGAGTGAGGCTTGGGCACTTATAATGAGTCTTCAGGGGAATCATGGACTCTCACTTGTGAATCCTGTGTAGGTCCTGGAGGACTGGGATAAAGCTGGGTTCAGATTAGGGATCCGAGGCTGCCACCACAGCAGGGGGAAATGAATCCCACTGTTCACTCTGACTCCAGGTGATTCAAGGGCCCTGATTCCCTAGGGCCATATTTGATTAGGAAGAGTAAGCCCAAAGGAGAGGTTATGGAATGATGAATGTGTGGGAGGGAGATGGTTAGGTGAGGGTTTGAACTTGGAGATTCCAATTCCATGGGGGAGGATTTTGTGTGGTGGGAGGCTGACAAGTGAGAAAATCTGTGAAATGTTCTAATAGATAATGGGAAGAGGTATCTGTCTTTTGAAATATCCAAGCTTTTATGGATTTCTATGTTACCTCTTGTTCTCAAGCTGAACCTATACTGAAGATTTAAAAAATCTGGTACATCTGGGCCAGGCGTGGTGGCTCACATCTGCAATCCCAGCGCTTTGGGAAACTGAGGCTGGCAGATTACTTGAGGCCAGGAGTTTGAGACCAGCCTGGCCAACAAGGTGAAACCCCGTCTCTACTAAAAATACAATAATTAGCTGGGTGTGGTGGTGGTCACCTGTAATCTCAGATACTTGGGAGGCTGAGGCATGAGAATCGCTTGAACTTGGGAGGCAGAGGTTGCAGTGAGCCAAGATTGCACCACTGCACTCTAGCCTGGATGACAAATCAAGACCTTGTCTCAAAAAAAAAGTTTTTAAATCTTAATAAATGTTCCATGTAATTTTAAGTAAAATGTACACAAATGAAGAAATAGAAAATGAATTTACTATTTTGTAGTAAATTACAAATTTGTTAAATACATCTAATCATCTTATGTCATTTCATATGGGTATAAATAAAGATTTTTATATGTTGGAAGTTATTCTCTTATAGGAAATAATGGTCATGTGGAAGTTAGTTTTGTGTCTGGCAGATAGTATAATAGTTGCACACAGTGTGTATCTTTTTTTTTTTTTCACCACCAAATGTACCTTTAGAAGATGAACCAATCCTTAAAGCCCAGCTTCCCATCCAGGCTTTTTCGTTTCTGCTCACTGACCTTGTCCAATCAGTTCTTTGACAGTCATTAAGTCATTAAAGCTGTGATTTCTCCTTCTAGGAGTCTATGTCATTTCTGTTGAACCGGCCAGAAGGGAACTGAGATCACTTCTGTTTATGTGACAGTCCCTGGATGGGAGAATCCTGTGACACATGTGAGCATTCTCAGTACAAGTATGTAAAACATTCATGACAGTTATACAGTCTGCTGGGAGCCACAACGGGACGCTGGATTGGCTCAAAAGTCCCACGTGGCTGGGTACAGTGGCTCATGCCTGTAATTCCAGCACTTTGGGAGGCCAAGGTGGGTGGATCACTTGAGGTCAGGAGTTGGAGACCAGCCTGGCCGACACGATGGAACCCCATTTCTATGGAAAACAAAAAAATTAGCCTGGTGAGGTGGCGGGTACCTATGATCCCAGATAGTCAGGAGGCTGAGGTAGGAGATGGAGGTTGGAGTGAGCTGAGATCGCACCACTGCACTCCAGCCTTGGTGACAGAGTGAGACTCTGTCTCAAAAAAAAATTTGACTAATTCTGATACAACCAAGATTTAAGTGTCTGCTACACCAGACCCATCTCCAGAGACCTCTTATGTGAGGATTCCAACATAACCTACTGATATTTTCCAAGCTGGAAACATCTATGATCAGGCACTGCAGAAATAGTACCTGGTGAACATTTGTACTTCTTATCCCTAGAACATTGGGCCCTTCCAGCTTAGAATTTACATTTCCTTGTTACTGGGGACAGAGTGGGGAAATATTTCTGCCAAAGATCACAGCAAGTGTCTGCTGAACTAATGCTATGACTAACTTGGTCATTCTGGCTTTCCCATGATGGTAGGCTGGCAGGAAAAGGGAGGAGCCATTATATTTATGTCGGTCATTGACCCTGATTATCATGCATGCTGATGTTGCTACTCAAGTACATCTGAACCCAGGAGATTCCGTGAGTGCTTCCATACTCAGGCATAACCAACAATGGGCACTTGCAGCAATCACAGCTCTCTATCAGGGTAAGTCAGCTAGGGATCTGAGCTCTTGGAGGTGGAAGTCTATGTTTTCCCAGTAGGTAAGCATCTGCTACCTGTAAGGGTTGACTCGGCGGGGGCAGGAACTATAATATGGTTAGTAAAGGAGGGAGGTTAATAAGAATCAATTTGCCAGGTGCAGTGGCTAATGCTTGTAATCCCAGCACTTTGGGAGGCCAAGGTGGGCGGATCATGAGGTCGGGAGTTTGAGACCAGCCTGACTAACATGGATTAACTCCGTCTCTACTAAAAATACAAAAAAAAAAAAAAAAAAAAAAATTAGCTAGGCATGGTGGTGCATGCCTTAAATCCATGCTAGTTGGGAAGCTGACTTGAACCCAGGAGGCAGAGGTTGCGGTGAGCCGAGATTGTGTCATTACGCTCCAGCCTGGGCAACAAGAGTGAAACTCTGTCTCAAAAAAAAAAAAAAAAAAATAAATTACAGCTTCAGGGCCAGTTGCAATGGTGGGAAATGTTACCTTTTCCACCAATCCACTTATATTGAGTCTTAAGTAGAGATTGTAGCTCACCAGGTTCTTGCCTGGCTCTGTGATATGCTGAGCTACATGCAGAGCTGGCGCATGGGCAGACCCAAACACAGGCAGGGGAGGACGGCACTGTACAACTTTTTATGCCCCATCTGACATCCTCTTGGCCCACATTCTTACCCTGACCATAGTTGCACTCAGGTGAAATCAAAGACCTCCTCACTCTTTCTCTTGTGCTCCTTCTAGGAGCTTCTCTGCTGATGCAGTGTGG